ATCTATCTATCTATCTATCTATCTATCTATCTATCTATCTATCATCTATCTATCTATCTCTCCCTATGTATGTATGTATGTATCTATCTATCTATCTATCTATCATCAATCAATCATCAATCAATCAATCATCTATCATCATCTTTGTTGGTAATTCTTACTAAGGAGCAATTTTGCCCAATGGGGAACATTTGTCAGTGTCCCCAGACATTTTTTATTGCAATAACCAGTGAATACTATAAATATCTAGAGACTATTAAACATCCTACTGTGCACAGAACAGTCCCTTTGTTCATTTCTGTAGTGAAAATGATTCTGGCCAAAATGTCAGTGGTGCAGTAGTTGAAAATGCTTGATCTGTATCCTTGCTTTTTTCTTTATTTTTTAAAAAAATATTTTATTCATTATTTTTATTTTATATGTGAGTGTATTGCCTGCAATATGTAAGTGTGCCCATGTTATATAATGACCATGGAGGTCAGAAGAGGCCTCAGGTCCCCTGGAACTGAAGTTATGGACGGTTGTTAACTACCACATGGGTGCTGGGAATTGAACCTGGGTCCTCTGCATGTACAGTCAGTGCTCTTAAGTGCTGAGCCATCTCTAAAGCTCCTCCTTGCTTATTTCTGTGGGTAGGCTGATGTACTCCAAAGATAGAAGCATTATAGTTATAGGTGGTATTTTAGTAATTTTCAGTTCATGTGGTCCTAAATAATACAATGGATTAGATTAAAATGTCTACATATACAAAAATAGGCTGTACTTAAAACTGCAGCAATACAGAAATGAATATGAAGTATTCAAGATATCACAATTACTACCATTTTTGTTATTAATTGAATTGTACTGATCTACATACTACTTTGTGAGTTGTAATTTGTTTTCCAGTGTCATACTGCCTGTCAGGATCTTTGCACATGTAACAAAGGCCCTGTGGGAGTCTTTCTCTTGCCTTGTATATATGACTTTATATATGCCTGACATACATATTTCAGGGGAACTCAAATTTGTTTATTTTACTTGGCTTTTGAAAACCTTAAATTTGCCAGGCGTGGTAGTGCATGCCTTGTAATTTATTTTAAGTAATTGTACGTGCAGATAACTCATGTTGATATTATGATAGATTAAAAAGTTTTACTCAAGTTGCTAGACAATAAGTATTTCCAATGGATAACTAAAATTAAAAACTCGGCTTTCAAATTTAAAATATAATAAATTCTTTCTTAATTATCTGCTTATTTAATTTTGAGACAGAGTCTCACTGTAATCCCAACTTGTCCGGAATGCACTATGTAGACCAGGCTGGCCTCTGTCTCACTGACATTTGCCTGTCTCTGCCTCCAGAGTACTGGGGTTAAAGGTGTTTAACCACCATGCCAGCCAACAGGTTCTTATTAAGAATTTGTGAACATTTGGAGTTTAATCTTTAATAGTCTTAAAAGAAAAGCTTTGTTCATCAAATGAACTGAATAAACAATAGAGAATAGATAATAAAGTTTAAGAAGCACACTGCCTTTTGGCACCTTCAGTCTCTACTCATATAATCATTTCCTAAGTGAGTGTGGTACCTTGTTAATCTTAAATAGTCTTACCTATTTAATTTTCTCCAAATCATTTTCAATAATTGAAATAGAATTATAAATATATACTAATATATTTATTGAAACAATGTCTTTAGCAAATCTTTAACTAAAAGTTAAAATTTAGCCATGTGTGGTTGGTGGTATACCATTAATTCCAGCACTTGGGAGGCTTAGGCAAGAGGATTGCAGGTTAGAGGCCAGGATGGGCAACATGGTAAAACCCCAGCTCAAACCAACAAAATGAAACCAACAAAAATTAAAATTCTTTAAGTCATTAATTCAAAAAATAATTTCAGTTTTTTTTAAAGGAATACTGTAATGAATGTAGTTTAAAATAACAGAATCATATTTTACAAATCAGATAAGACAGTCCACAAAATTGATGCCAACTTCTTGATTTTATAGTTTATGCTGTAAAGAAGGAATCCATCTGATACATGGTTCTCATCACTTAGTATTCCTCACTCACATTAGTGAAATCTTTTCAGTCCTCTCTTTTCAAGTAATATTTCGAATATATATTTTTTCAATTTACTTGAAAATAATAAAAATAACAATGCTTCCTTGATCTTTTTCTAGAGTGAGTACTTCAGCATTGTTTTATGAATAATATCACAAAATCAGCCTAGACATATGGAGGGAGGAAGGGAACTAAAGTACAGGAGAACAGCAAGAGAGGAAGGAATCCTGAGTTCTCTCACCTGCAGGATCTAGATTACAATACCTGCCTCTCTATGCATAGAGGAAGACATGAAAGCAGAAAGAAAACCATTGGGGAAGGAAAACCATTGGGGAAGCCAGTGTGAGTGGCCAGGGCAGGAGGAGGGTAAGCAGCCTCCAAACCCAGGGATTATTTTATCTTATACTTTAGTTCTAGCTCTTGAGGTTAGAACACTCTGCTTTCTCAGTCAGGTTAGGAGTGTGAACTCTGTTGGATCCTCTTGCATAGTAATACAAATATAAGAATTTCCTTTTAGCCAAGTAACTATCAGTACCAGCTATGTGTGTGTGTGTATGTATGTATGTAGTTATGAAACACTTTTCTTTGGTTTGCCTAATAGCTGTTTAGTTGAAGTAACATAATCTTTACTTTAGTAAAGTATCTGATAAATTGAGGAATTATACTTCCTTTTCACTAAAGAATTCCCTATTTTACAACAGCTTTGGACCAAATATAGTGATTTTTGATGAAAGGCTCTATTTATATGTCAAATAAATGTATCTAGAATTGATGGCACCGTATATAGTTCCTACTTTTAAAATGTTTACTTATTCTATAAAATAATCGACTTTCACGTTTCTAAAATTATATGTTTTGTTTAAGCCCTTTTGCTAGACTAAGAAACAACATATATTTATCTTTTGTATATATTAATGAGTTAGCTTTGCTTAGTTGGACTCCAGCAGTAATAAAAGCTCATTATGCTACATTTTCAATCAACAAAATATCTAAGATTTACAAAATTGCCTATCATTATGATTCAGTAGTCATCTATTTTATAATATTGTCTAATATTTCATTTTTATGCTTAAAGCACTAAAATGGACTGAACTTAAAGCATATTGACAGCATTGTTAAGAGATCTTTCTGTTTTCATTGTGAGGTACATCCTCTTTCAGTCACTACATAGATGTTGATTTTGAGCCTTGCTCACCAAATACTAGCAGTGTACTGAGAAAAGGACTAGACTAAGAGAAGACCTGAGGCACTGTCTCTGCTCTGTAATTGTAATCAGACTGCTTCATCTTTCTGAGTTCACCTTTCCATAGAGGTAGCTATGAGTATCTATGTAACTTGTTGGTCTTACAGGATATTAGGGATACTAAGAATAGATAATGTGCATAAACATTTTATATCTCAAAATGATGTAAAATACATGGTTCTACTTCAGCTTTTAAAATAAAATTTGTCTTAATTCATATATAAGTTAACTAGCGTATGCTCATTGTATTCTTGAGAATGAATTATAGATTTGTGCAGGATTATTAAGTGTATTTCTAACTAGTGAGGCAAAGCCTCATTTGATTTCTTTGAATCAGTAGTGTATGCACATGGACATGTACATCGGCCTGAGTTTTCCTTCCTTCCTTACTCTCTATTTCTTTTCCTCAGAAGTAACTTTCCAGAAGCATTATATGCAAAAAAGGCATACCTGTAATTTATCCTGTCCATTGTGTACAAATTTCAGGGCATCTAGTACTGTCTGTTACATGTTACTTTTTTACATAATGTGCCTCAAGTTTCATTTTATAGTAGTTTGTATTCAGTTACTCTCTTTTTCACCTATTCATTAAATACATATCTGATGTCTGGTGTTATGATGGTTGGCTTTAGTTGTCAGCTATTACACCCACTGGGAACAGAATCTCAGTGCAGGATTGCTTACTTTGGTTTGGATTGCCAGCATGTCTGTGGGGCATTGTGCCTTGTCTACATAGTAAGACTCTATGGGGTTTTTTTTTGGTCTTTTTGATACAGGGCCTCCCTGTAGCCACAGCTGTCCTGGAACTCACTATGTAGACCAGGCTGGCCTTGAACTCATAGAGATCTGCCTGCCTCTGCCTCCAGAGTTCTGGGATTAAATGCGTCCACCACCACGCCCGGCTTTTTATTAATTTTTTGAGACACAGTCTTACTATGTAGCCCTGCCTGACCTAGATTCTTGCTGTGTAGAACAGGCTGGTCTTGAGCTCATAGAGATCCACCTGCCTCTGTCTCCTAAGATTGAAGGCATGTGCCACCATCCTGGCTGGGTTTATCTTAATGAACGTAATTGATGTGGGAGGATCCAGCCTGC